AAGCCAAGAGAATACATGGTTCAATTGCAGAGTAGAGCAGAGATCCAAAACCTGTTCGCCTGATTGGCATGGAGGATAGATCGTAAAAAGAAAGAAAATCCGTGTAGCACATGAGCTGCTGCAGGATACATAGATCATCAATAGCAAGGGAGGGACCTAGAGACCATGGCAGCCTCCTCTTTCAGACCAAACTGCTTTTCTTTGCCTCTTGCTCAGGTACAGCTGATCTCAAGTGAACTTAGCTTGAGGACCTAAGAGGGATGAGATCAGAAAACAGCATATCTGCACACAGCAAAGAATAGGAAAATACCACAGTTTGCTAAAAGGCCTCCCCTTTAGAATAACCATGACATCAAGGGGGATGAATGCCTATCTTCATATGTATTTCACTGACACCCCATAGCTCACTAGTGGAGGTTCTGGAACTTACTAAGCTTGAGGATCTCTGAAACTGTTCCTAAGTCTTCTTGTCAGTAAATCCAAAGGGACAATATACATGTTACTACTGTTACCATCTGCTTTTGGTAGACCAATTATATTGGGAGGAGGAGCCCAGGAGAAGTATAAAGAGTGAAGTTTACAAAGTAGTTAATTCTTAATCTGTAACAATGAGAAGTTTGGTTTTGACCAGATGTCGTCAAATATTTTAGCATCTATAATGTCATTTACATGTTGGCTTTTGATCTATTCACTGCTTTTTTCCTGCAAAGTATATTTCTCAAGCTCCTCTGCCTCCTAGCTTTGGGCTAGAATCATCTAATGAGAGGCATGAGGAGGGAGGGAGAACCTGGGCATCCCTAGCCCTGCTATTTGTTCTGCTTCTGACAGTGGCTGCACTTCCCCATGGTTCCTGCTCCCCACAGACCTCGACTGCTTCCATTGGCCCAGCTCTCATCTGATGGTTTCTAAACCAGTAACAATTCAGTGCTACCGTCATTCCTTTTAAAAACTATATGAAAATGCTTGTACTCACAGCACTCTGGGGAACTTGGACAGGAGGATCTCAAGTCAATCCCAGTCTGAGCAACTTAACAACTAAGGAAGACTCAGTCTCAAAATAATAATTTAGAAAAGGAATGGAGACATAGATCAGTGGGAAGGGTTTGGGTTCAATTCCCAGTACTACAAACAAAAAACAAAGAAGTGAACAAGCTTTACTTTAACAGTTGACACTTTTAGTCATTCTTTTGTATCCTCTCTGGAGTTTTCAAATTTTCATTCTACTTTCTTCACATTATTTTATATAAATTCAATATTGAAAGTCTTTCATTAGTCATTCTATCAGACAACTGTGCAGCAAAAATATGTGCATAAATTTTTAATTGGTGTACTTTTCCATAATTATAAGTCTTAATGTGGTCAAAACTTCTTCTGGAATGAGTTATCATTAAAATTATTATTTGTGAACACTTAATCTCAACTTGTGTAGGTTACAAATCTTAATAAGTAATTGAAAAATAAGAAATAAAATTTTAGTGGAAATGTTTTCTAATGAGATAAATTTGACCGTTCCCCCTTCAGTTAGTTCATATATCTATTGATGAAAATGGCTATTACCAAATAAAATTAGCATTTATTCTATTCTCATTTTCTGCTTCTACAAACGTAAGCAATAAGAAACTCTGTTGACATAAATAAGTATATGGATAGACATGTTTTCTTTTAAAAAACAATGTTATGCCAGACATGGTGGTGCACACCTGTAATCCTAGCACTCGGGAGGCTGAGGCAGGTGGATTGCTGCAAGTCTGAGACTAGCTTGGGCTACATAGTGAGTTCAAGTCCAACCTGGACTATACAGTGAGACCTTGTCTCAAACAAACAAGCAAACAAAACAGCAATGTTACTTGATTCTTTTGAACTCTTTTCTGGTTATAACCAAGTTTTCACAATGCTCTATCATGGAAAATTTTCATTTTGGGGGGAGGAAAGTTACCAGAAGTTTTTATTTTTAAATAATAAATCATCTAAAAATTTCATTGGGTCTTTCTTTGATATTGTGAAATGTAAAAAATTGCAAAAACAAAACAAAACAAAAAAAAACTTGTGACCTAGACATCTGAGTCCTTCATTTCTATAGATTCTGTATTTCAGAAAAGATATCTTTATGTAGATTAGAAAATTATTATTATTATTATTCTTTTAGGGGGGTGTTTTTTGAGACAAGGTCTTGCTGTATAGTTCAGGCTGTCTTTGAACTCACTATGTAGGCCAGGCTGGCCTCAAACTCTAGGAAATCCTCCTGCTTCAGCCTCCAGAGTGCTGGATAGGTGTGTGCTACCACACCTGGCAAGAAAATTATAATTATATTCATGGCTTTTCAATTTAAAGGAATTTTATTTTACTTCAGAATGAATTTTTGTAAATCAAAATATTGTTAAATTTAGTATGTTTCTGCAATATTTTTGATAAAATAATTTTATTTAATCACAGCTTTAAATATAATGTCACAAAAATCCTGGAGCTATGGATTTAGCTTATTTAGACTGTGGGAATTCTCTGCCACTTAAGTTAGGAAGGTCAATTTTCATTTCCCATTAGCCATGTAAGACCTATTTTCTGTCAGAAAAAGTCTGGTTCTATTTTCCATTTGCAATAAGCACGTTATTAAGTACTTTAGATAATATGTTGTTTTAAAAGACAAAAATAATAAAGCACATCTTGTAAAGTATTTACTAAAATTATTCAGGATTAAATTAATGTAAACCTAATGAATTTATATACTTATTGGATAATAAATTTGTATAATACTAAATCAATAAACTATTACTCATTTTCTACCTAACAACAGTATAATATATTACTAAAATTCTGTTATTTATAAAGCAAGAAGTAGGATAAAAAGGAACAGAATTTAGTAAATATATTTTTGTGCTTGGCTTTTAAGAAGAATTAAATAAAAATCAAATTTTAAAAATAAGAAATAAATCCATTTATCCATTATACATTATCATCAAGCCTTACTTATGTACTTATGAAAGCCCATATACTGCTAAAAGCTAATCAGATGATTGGCTAGCTAGCCTCTTTTGTTGTTAATAAGAAGTAGAAATACTAAATATTTTGTAAGATAAAATATGAATTTACTGTGTTTGAAATAAACTTTTCAAAATATATTTTGATAAAATAACTATTACAAAGAAATAACATTCAAAATCTCAAAGAAACTGCTTAAAGTTTTATCTATGAGTTTTACCCACTATATCTTGAAAATTTTGGTAGTATTGGAAAATATTCCAGTTATATTTTAAAGAATCAATAACAGGAATCTATACTGCTTTGGGCATTGGAAGATGCTTTTTGTTCGCAGCTAATTATATGTCAAAAGAGTAATTGTGGAAAATAGCTGAAATGAACTTATATTTTGATATTTTTAAAGTTCTTTCAATATTTGATTCTTATTAAAAAAATGTTTGATACTTTTTACCACTTTGTTTTGGTCCTATAGGACCTTTCTTCTGAGCTGCATAGTCTGTAGAAATTGATCACTACTACTACTGCCATAGTCTGCCATTTGTCTGAATTCTGACTCTGCCAAGGACAAAACTACCAATTTTCCAATAACAAGCTTCACTTTTAACAGCAATGTTTAAGACAGGAAGCCTTATTAGTCATGGTGCCTTGACTGCGTTTAACAGTACCTCCTGTTTTATTTGGCAGTCTTCAAGTTTATATACACCGGGAAAGACTCTTGGGTAAATGAGAAGAAATGTCTCTGTTTCTTCAAATGCAAGAAGAGTTATTATGAACTTAAACTCCATCTCAGCTACTCAATTTTAGGAAACAATGTATACAGAAGTTGAAGATCCAAAATTAAATATCTAACTCTGTACCTGCACAAACCTTTGCAAATCATCGTGTGGCCCAATTTGAGAACCCCTGGCATAGTGTACCTTGCACTTGAGTTAAAGGTCTTCTGTGTAGTTTTTGCTTTTTATATAGTACATAATACACATGGGTCCTCCTCACTTACTAAGTTTCCCAAGGTTTCCACTAAGAAAGCTTTAGTTTGGAGAATCTCACGAAAGGTGACCCCAGAAACAACAATGATCAGTTACAGCTTTTAGATTTTTCCTAATCTCTGTCTTCAAAGTCCTGCTCCAGTCTTCTGTGCTGTGATATAGTGAATACCTTTAAACTCCTTTGGTTATAGTCACTTCCTGTTTTGGATATGAGCTGAAAAGCTGCCCATTGTGAAGAATCAGGACTCTTCCTGTGAAACACAATTAACAACCCCTCCAAGGGATCACTGCCATATCTTAACCACATCCACTCTCACTAGTCTATGGTTTTATTTATACCCTCAGAAAACATTATTTTTAAAATGATAGTATAAGAAATTTAATGATTATTAACATTATCATAGCATTCAACCAATCCAAATGCATATGAAATATTCCATTTTTAAATGTCCTCTTAAAAAGAACATTTAACATTATCTCCATTTATTTGTTCAGCAAATAGTTACTAAATACTTGTGTAGCAGGTTCTCATGGTAAGTGACATGAATACAAAGCTGAAAGCATAAGCATCGTGAAAAACAGACTTTCAGAAGAGGTGAGTGGTTGCCACGGGACAGGGATGGGGAAGCTGGGGACTGCTGCTATGAAGGGGGGCACAAGGAGGTTCTTTGTGATAATAGGACAATCCTGAGTCCATGGTGGTCATAAAGCAGAAGCTGGCAGACCTTCTTCTGCAAAGGGAGAGACAGTAAAAATTTTCAGAAGGTGATTCTTGGAGAAACCATTCCTAGTAGCAAAAGAGGATTTTCTTATAGTCGGTTCTCTCTGAAAAATCTAAAGGATTTTCACAACCAAATCAGACTTTCTAAATTTGAATCTGCCTTCTAGGATGAAGCTACAGGCCCTGGTAACAGAGCAAAGGAGGGTAAAAACCCATGGGGAACGTGGAGGAAGAAGACATATTTGTCATTTTACCCTCACTGGGACAAAATAACTGACATTTGCAACTAAAAGGAGGAAAGGTTTATTTTGACTCACAGTTTTGGCAGACTTGATCAATGGTCAATTGGCTCCAAGGCAGAAATAATTTGGTGGAAAGACCTGGCCGAGGAAAGCGGCTTATCTCATGGAAGCCAGGAATCAGAGGAGAAGCTAGAGACCAGAATACATCCTTCTAGTCATGCCCCGGGTGACTCATCTCTGACCAGGCCCTACCTCCTGACAGCATATTCAGCTATAAGTTCATCAGTGGATTAACCTGCTGATGAATTCAGCACTCCCATAATCCAATCAACTTCCAAAATCCCTCTTCTGAACACAGGAGACATTTCGGGGGGCAGTTTGGATCTAACCTATAACAGAGGAGAAAGAGAAAACCAGAAGAGGGTAGCTCTTTCATTTTTGGACTGACATAATAGGGAAAGTAACTATTTATATTGATTGCAAACTGTAGCCCATGGGGCAAATCCAGCTCACTATTTGCTTTTGTAAGTAAACCTTTATTGGAATACATCCACATTCATTCATTTATGCATTATCATTTATGCTGTATTAGTACCACCATGCCAGAGTTAAGTAGTTGTAACTGACAAGATACAGTTCACAATGCCTGAAATATTTACTATTTGGCCCTTTATGAAAAAAATTGCTGACTCCTATTTGCATCCCTCAACCCAATCAATGCAGGTAGTCAAGAGACAACCCTATGTAGAATTTGACATTGTATAGTGCTCCACAAATATTATCTTGTTCCTCATACATTTGAGGGAGAATGACAAATTTATCTTTCAGTAACTTTCAAATATGAAAACTGAACTTTGGGAAAGTGTTTTGCTTAGGGCTATGTAAGTAAAAGATACATTCTGATTTCCTGGTCAATTAATTTTCTTTCATTTTTGTGTTTCTTTATATAGTATAATATTACATTTCAGACAGCCTTTTTAAATTATGAAAAATTCTGAAGGGTTGACAGGTACACACTGAACTGTATAGATTTCTAAAATTCACAGTTCAGAAATCTTTAACGTCTAAGGTAGAGTGGCCTGGGCCCATCATCTCTCAGCAGTTCACCCAGAAAACCCTCTCTACCCAGACAATTCAGACTAAATGTTACTTTGTCACAAAAGTCTTCCTGAAGTTGCTGACTTGGTCATGTTCTTTTCATATGGTCTATTTTTCCTTCAAAGTACTTATTGTGGATGTATTATATTTTTAATGTGATGCATGCATAACTTCTGTTGTTTTGATACCTGTCAGTACTTACTAGACTACAAACATTGCCTGGACCCAGGTCTGTTTTGCTAAATCCAATGTGAGCCTAAGGCCAGGTGCCCAGTGTTTCTTTCTTTTTTTTGGTACCAGGCATCGAATGCCCAAATGTTTCTTACACGAATGAAAGAACAGTTTGTCCATCATGGGGCCACCTTCCCAGGCCATCTTTCTTACCGAGGACTATTTCATCACTAGTTGAACAATTATTTACATGGTAGGGTGCTTCACTTTAAATAGCTCTAATCGTTAGTATTTTTAAAGTATTGAACTCTATCTGCCCAATTTTTATCAAATAGTTATAGTTCTTCCTAGGAATAAACAAGCATAGTGTCTCTTCTTTATCACTCTCCCTGAGATATTCGAAAATCTTCACTGTGAATTATTTTCTAGATTAGAATTTCCCATTCTTTTTCAGTTATTCCTGTTCTGACTTGAGGCCTGGGCCTGCCTTTATTCCGAATGGCCTCATCTCTACAGGGACTAACGGAGTAGAGTACACAGTCAAAATTCAGGATTAAACCTTAGTGTCGGGCTCACTAGCTTGAGAAACCTTGCCAAATGTCATAGCCTTTCTCTGTTTTCATTTCCTCATTTGGAAAATGGAAATAATAACAGTATTGACCCTCATAAATTAGAAATTAATGAGTTGTTATATGCAAATACCTTAGAATATGCCTGGCAAATAGTAAGCAGATATGAGTTATGGGATACGGACGTTAGTACAGATGGACCCTAACACACAATGGTTTCACTTTCAATTTTTCAACTTTACAATGATGTGAAAACAATACATGTTCAGTAGAAATCATGCTTGTAATTTTGAGTTTTGATCTCTTGCTGGGCTAACAACGGTGTGATGTGACACTCACACCATGGTGGGCAGTGGCAGCAACTGGAGCATCAGTCAGCCATGCAATCATGAGGGCTGACAAATGGTCCTCTACAGTGCACTGTGTTGCTAAGCTAAGATGTTACATAGGTTAGGTGCATTAGATGCATTTACACCTACCTATATCAGGATATAAACTAAGGAGTATTTATATAAAAATTACATAATCATGGGAAGAACTGGGAAAGCGATGATCTGAAAGAAGCAGATGGAAAATGAAAGGAGTCACCAAGTCAATCTGAGAGGCCCAGGTCACCCCACTGCCCAAAGGAATCTCTCAAAGAAGAAGCTGGTGGAAATGCCTATGTCAAAAATGTGGACCAGTGTTCTTGCATCTAGTGGTGAGTTGGAGGCCCATATTGGTCAGCAGTAAGGAGTAAAGACTGGATAAAGAGTAGAGAATAAAGAGAATTTATCTTTGACATGTCTCTGCATCTACCTACCATCCTCAGAAGATGATAGCTGTTGCTTAATTTCCACCACACAAATCTCAGGAAAGAACCCATTTTTTCAATTAATTCCAAACCACACTATGAAGAGAATTTAGGAAAAACAAGTCCATATTAAACAAGTTGATAATAAATGATACAGTACAGTATGTGAGATTGCTTTAGTTTTACAACCTCTCTAAAAACTGCCACCAGGGCTGGGAATTTAGTTCAGTGGTTCTGCCGCCTGCCTCGAAAGCTCAAGGTCCAGAGTTTGATCCCTCATACCATAAAAACGCAGAAAAACCAAAAAACAACAGCAACAAAAAACTGCCACCGACAGTGCAACCCAGGCAGGGCAGAAGAGCATAGCATGAGGGGCTCCTACAACCCATGCTCCGCAAGAACATCCAGGGTTAGTTAACCTCCTGCAAAGTTTGCATGATTTTGGTGGTTTTCAGCATAATTGTTTCATGATGAACATTCTGACACTAAAAATTTCTTGTCCTTTACATGTACTGCACTGAAACAGATCTCTGAGGCCTACTGTTTGCATATGATTTTTAAATAATTTCCCCTCATTATAATTTCAACATATTTTATAAAGTGGCAATTATGCTTCTCCCTTTTCCAGTTGACACTGTTTCATGTCTTGGTTCTGAGATGCAGACATTAGCTAGCCATCTTATATTTGTTTTATATGCAGAGTAATATGCACATGTATTAGAGGTTTAGATGAGATGCACTGAATAGGCTTGATCACCATAGCATTTCTCAAACTGGCATTCCATGGAATATTAATCCACAATATGTTCAGATGAATGCTGTGTACTATACTGCTTTCTTCATATCTCACTAAATAACTGTGGGAATCACTGGGCTCAGCAAAATACAGATTGTTTTGCTGTTGAATATTCCAGAGACTCTATTTTGTGAGTATGTATGCTATAAAGCTCCCCACTAAGCCACTTTCTCCTGTTCTGGGGGCACCAAAGCAAGGGTATTGTGACACTAACATTTCCATTAACAGTTATGCACAGTATTGAAATTCCTCACTCACCCTAACCAAACCTCTTCCAAAGAACACACTTCTCAGTTCAGCAACTAGAGGGGCTTGATGGAGTCCCATTTAGCCCATGCTGATTACCCTCCATAGTCTAAATTTTAGGAAAAGATATGGAAACTGGATGGCTCATGCTTGTCCTTTCCCTCCCAGAAGAGCCTTGAACTTTTTATGTAGATCGGGCCATCTCTTCCTAGTACCCGTTTAATATCCCAACGACTTAGGGCAGCATAGCAATGCTCAAGTGAAAAATAAATTCTAAGGGATTAGGGTGTACCTCAGTACCAGAGCACTTACATGCCCAAGACCCTGGGCTTGATCCTCAGCACCACAAAAGTGTTCTTAATATTGTCATTTATGAAATTAAAAGGCCAGATAAGAGGCTCTGTTTTGGAAAAGGGCAACTCCTGTAGCCTGCAATCTCTGTCCTTAGATAAAGGAGAGGACAGGATTCTCATCTTCTCCTTAAATCCTACTTAATCTTTGCTCTGACAGGTACCCAGTTATTTACCTACTAGGATTTCAAGGAGCCTTAAATAATCTATACAAAGTGTTGAGCATAGGTCATAGAATGGAATACATGGTCCATAAAGAGAAGCTATTATCATGACTGATTATTTCAATCTCCTTAATTATCTTAAAGACCATAAGCACAGGGAACAAGTCATGTGCTTGTATCCTCCTAGCAATTAGCACAGCATCTGGCTTTTACTTGGTTTAATAAATATTTATTGAAGAAAAGAAGTGGTTTATTTCATATATTTCTGTTTCCTATGTCCTATGCTTCTTGGATCCCTTTGACTAAAATAAGAATTTCCATTTGAAGTTAACTTTTACTAACCTCAATCAAAATAACTCTGAAAACCAAGCCCAACATTTACCGGGCAAAGAGAATTTGAACACTCCTTAATCATGTGTACTATCTTAGAATGCCTATTTCCAACCTCAATCAGAGAGTTGGTTAAAGAGGTATCTCTTTAGCTGGGCGTGGTAATGTACACCTGTAATTCCAGGTGAAGTAGGAAGAGTGCAGGTTCAAACCCAGCCAGGGAAACAGTGATTTAGTGAGACTTTGCCTCAAAATAAAAATTTTAAATGGGGTTAGGGATGTAGGTGGGTGTGAAGGCCTTGGATTTAATTCCTAGCATGCCTACACACAAAAAGCCTTAAACTTAGTGCCTTGATGATATTTCAATGAATCCTATAAATCTCAGGTTCAACTTCAGCTTCCTCCCAACAGAACTGGTTCTACTCTTGGCTTCTGCTCACTTTTGAGTGATATTGCCAAAGGAGATTTGTCCAAAATGTTACTCGATGGGGAATACCATATTCCAACCTCAAAGCTGACAGCATGTTTACTACACTCCAACTTCAATTTTATTCAGGAAGAGTACAATTACACTGGCGGTGAGAAGTTCAGGCCTTCAGAAATTAGAAGAGTAAGTTCAATTTTCTGACAGAACTTAACAGTAAGAAACTCTTCCCTTAACGCTCACAATCAGAGATGCCCAATAAACCATTTTACAATGATAG